TATATATATATATATACACCGTGTACTCATCCGTGTACTCATACTTGCTTTTAACTCTTCGGTTATAGTGCGTGTCCGTAATTTTCTTTCTGCGAGAATAACAAATTTCTCTGGAGCAATCTTGGCTTTTAGAAAAAACATAAATCATTTCTTCTAAAAATCCTTAAATGATGCGCTTTAGATCAACAACGACAGGACGTTATAAACATCGTAAATCTCGCGAGACATTGCAACTATTGCATCCCAGACAAAGAACACTGCACCCCATTTTTTCGGGGTATAAATAGAGGCCCCGCGGAAGCGGAGTCAGTCCGAGTACGCAGAATCGTAGACAGGATATTCGCGAGATACGCGCCAGTTACAAAAGAGTTAGTACTCGTCGGAGTACTCAGAATAGTGGAGTTAATCGATCCGCATCAACAGCAAGAGAGTCAGTCCGCGTCTCGCCAATTCGCGGTATATTTTTCCGTGCCATCGTCCTATCAATCACTGAACCACCTTCTTGGGGCTCTTGGGTGGACGGCTGGCAACATTACTCCGGGATCCCGGAAAAAGTAAGTTTGTGTTATTCCTTCTGAGCGTACCTCCCTGTAAAAGACATACATGCACCTATACACACACACACATATATATATATATGTATATATACTCGTATATATGTGTGTATATATATATATACAATATTGTATATCCGTGTACTCATACTTGCTTTTAACTCTTCGGTTATAGTGCGTGTCCGTAATGTTAGAAAAACTCAGGGGAGAACCTCTTACGACCGAACCGGTAGTACTGTACGGAGAGTCAGTTAAAACATTTGAAGTCATTTCTTCAGTTGATCGGGATTGATCGGAATCGCCGGTTAAATTTTTCAGTTATTTTGTTCGTTATTAATATTCCGTGAGTGAAAACTGTGAGATGTTTCGTGACGAGCATCAACCGGACTTAGATAACGAAAAAATAAAGGTAATTTTACTTATTCGTGTTTTATTTGAAAGTATCTAAACGTGATCTGCCTCACGAACAGAATAGAGTGAATTTTTGAATTCATCGATTGATCATGCGCAAATGTAATTTTGTTCCGTAAAAGTAGCATTTGCACATAATGCGATTGATCAATTGATGAATTAAAAAACTCGTTTATATTAAAGTTTCCAGATACTCAAGGTAAGAGATCTGTCACATCGGTGGTGTAGAGGGACATGTGAGAACAAGGGCACATTCTATTTACGTATGATGTATCCTGAAGGTGAGTACCATCATGACATAAATATAATAAATATATTTTGTGTATTTGACGAGATACGACAGACAAAGGTCGATCTTTCATGTGTCGTATGACAGGCTTTTCAAGTTTCTTAATTCTTGATTAACGGCTCCTGCCTCCTGTGGAGCAAGCCGATACAAATAATACGATAACTCTTTTCACGCCAATTTGGCTTTATTTATAGGACATCATTTATCTTGTTTAATATTCGGTGAATAACAGGAATAAACGATATATCCTGTGCATCATGAGTGAAACGAAACGCAGTCAAGAATCTTAAGTGACTCAAGGCCAAATCTATTCTTTGACCACAATTGACAAATAATCGAAATTTCAATTTTCTATTTCGGCTGAAATTTAATTATTATTTCGGTAAAGATTGAGAATACTCCGGTCATTACTGTTTCTAAAATCCAAAAATAATATAAGAAAATAACATGTATTTTTAAAGTAGTAAATTTGTAGTTTTAAAGCAATGAATTTGTTTATAAAATAGTGAATTTATTTTTAAAGTAATGAATTTATTTTTAAAACAGAAAATTTATTTTAAAGTTATGAATTTATGTTTTAGAGCAGAGAACTTGTTTTAAAGATTGTTAATTCTAGTATTTGAAATACAAAATACAAAATACTTCTAATCTTTCGTTATTTACGGAAATACAAAATTTATTTATTACTTTTATTGTATATCTCCGTGGCATTCAACATATTAATATTATAAAAATTATCATTAATATTATAATTTCTTGCAATTACTTCTCCGTTCCTTCGACATTCAAGAAATTCAATTTTTGTTATTATATACGAAATTGAATTTGATCATTGTGTAAACACAATTTCCAAACTGTGCTTACACGACTGTTACAAGAATGCGCTTAAAAAAAATCCGAGATTGCAAAGAGTAGAGAAAATTTTCTTTCAATAAACCAATATAACATACTGAAAATAATCAAATGTTGGCCGAAACGTTTATTTAAAATTCGGTAACGAAAGATTTTGAATACAATGACATTGCACTACGTAAATCCAGTATGTTCTTTTTATTTATTGTTTGTATTTTTAAATCATTTTTTTATTTATTTACTTTTATATGTTTCCATGAAACATAAAATAAATTGTTTTACGAATATTGCTTTTTAAATAAAATTATTTTAAATACATGTTCAGCTCTGGATAAACTTTATATAAAATATTTGCCGACTATCATATATCCGTGTTGGATATCTGCTGTTGAATCCAGGGTAGATATTTGGCCACATCGACATATACGACGTACTTTGTGGGATCGCACAAAGATTTAGTATTAGTACTAGACACCGACCGTGAAACAATGCCGCGTAATTGATAACGACCCGTGATTTCATCACAGAGCACCAGTCCACTCCCGCTGTCACCATTGCAAGGAATATTCGGCGAACCGGCGCAAAAGGTGCGGTTTGAAGTGATAGTTACGAAAAGCTGATGGCTCCTGAGACAGTCCTCCTGTAATCCGATCAACAATATCGGATTATTATTTGTACAATTTTTTATTCAACAATGTGGAATTTGCCAGTTTTCCGTATATTATTATATTATCGGAATTATGCAAAATTGTGTTATTTTAAGAGTGTTTTAACACTAAGGCCGCTGAAACGCGCCAATTTAGCTCTTATACTATTCTTTAATTAATGAAACGTTATTTTGATATTATTTGTATTATTTGGAGTTGTATATATATATATATTTTTTTTTTTATATTCTGTATTAAATAATACGAAAAAAAACCAAGCAATTGAATATGATCAAAGAAAAATATTTTAATTTTATAATAATTCTTCAATATCAGTTTTAGAGCAATGCTTTATTTAAAAAAAATTTTTTATTACTATGATTAAATTTATAATTAAATAATTTAAATTTGTATGTGAATATTATATTCTAAAAAAAAAAAAGATATTGGTAGTGCATTCAGGGGCAGTTTGATAAAAATTTTAAAATAGAAGTAAAAATAGTTAACAATCTACAGTTTGCACACGCAACTTTTACGCCTTACATTTTCAATAAAAGCTGTTTACTTTTACAAACAAAAGATACAATTCTCTTTATAACTATATAAAATAAAATTTTCACATATTTCATAAACAACAAAAAAAATTAAAATAAGCGATGAATGCAATTGGCACATATACAGTTCACTTTTGCCTTACATTTTTCGCATATATTTCTATTGCACAATTGTACAATTTCAATATTCCTTTCGATTTCTTTGATTTGCTGGGTTTGCGATGTGCCATCTCAATTACGCATGAAAACGAAATTTTTTATTGCATTCAGTTCAACAATCGCAGTTTTATCGTTGACTCTTTTTGCTGCGATAAACAATATTATGAAGAGAAACAAGACAGAAAATATATCGGAACTATAGACGTATACAATACAGACGATTAATTCACATTGAGGAATATTAGTACACGATTATTTGAGAATACATCTTAAACGCCATTTCCGTAATAGGAATTTATAGAAATTATAGCAATTTTTAATATCAGCGGAGCCAAATTGACATTGAATCGGCGATTTTAGTGTTAAGAATTCATAAAAATTCGAAGACATATTTTTCCGTGTTATCGACAATCATGCTTATTGATTTCAAATTAACATATTCGTCAATTTTACTCGTTATGATAAGTGTGCAAATGTAGTGAAATCAAATAAAATTTTACGATTAACTATTAATCGTAAATATACTAAGAGGTATTATTCTAAAACCGTCTATATTATCGATTAAATGTATTAATAGGTAAATAAGTAATTAATAGGTAATAAGTAATAGGTTAAATAAATAATTTTTGTATAACCATTATTTTTTCCTCTTTTACAGATTCAAAAATTCTTTTCCAGGATTAAAATATACGCATTAATATGTGTTTGTGAGATGGAGTTTATAATTGTTATACAAAAATAACGATTTAGTCGGTAATACAGACGGCTTTACTATCCCTTTAAAGCAAAAATCTTTAAGCATTTTCTTTCCACGATATTCCAAAATTGTATCAAGATATTCCTATATTATGTTCTTGGAGAACCTCATTTGCAATTGTAATTCAATTTGAATATCGATCAAATAACGAAAAAGAGAAATTCTCATGAAGATTCTTACATTACTCGCTATCAATACCTTTGCCATTCGAGGTTCCTCGGTGTAAGGATGACTCGCTTCGTCTTCGCCCCATCCCACAATATATCCTATTTTACCGATAATATTTTGAAGATTGGTCGAATTGCTGGACCACAGACGAACAGGTCTGATGAAAGGACTGTACTCGACGGCCGTCCTGAGAATCAAAATCGCCAGATCGGAATCGCCGGTAATACCTGTGTGTACGTAGTCAGGATGGACCTTATAGTTTGCAACTTCCCGATTCACAGTTCCTACTTCCCTCCACTGATGCAGTTTAAATCGCCCCAATGCCACTATCAATACGTTAGAAGGTATAGTTTCGGTACTTTTGGAGGTCAAACAGTGACCCGCTATAAGAAAAGACATATGCATGAAATACATTTTTTAATAATCCATATTATCTGGATGTCCGGAAAATAGTAAAAATGTCCTAAACATTTCTTGTATTATATCATGTGTGTTATACTCCGAATTGAATTAAATACTGTAAATTAATGACGGAAAATAATTATATAATATGTATATTAAGTATTTATAATAATAACGCGCAAAATTTTTTTTCTATAAATATCTCAAGACTTCCTGGGTATATTGAAGATGATCTTGTGTTATTTAGATATTCGTCCCGTCTAGATTCTTCATTGTGTATTTTTCAATTATATTTGGATGAATAGTGAAAATCTGGGAAAACTTGTGGACAATTTTTGATATTTTATTTCATGCAAATTTAAATAGGTACAAATAAATATTTTGTTATAAAGATTTGATGAAAAACACACAACATGCATGCGAGCGTAGATATAGAGTATAAAATTCATATTCTGCACTTTCTGAACTGGTACACAATGCAATAAGTTGAAGTGAAATAAATCTACATTTGTTTTACTTCAACTTATTGCACCGATTCAGAGTGCAGCAATAAAAAACAGACCTATAGTTTGATGAAATTCAATTTTTTATTTATGAAGAATACTAGAGAATTTTAATTTTTTTTATTTGATTATCATACCTGTTAAAATATGTCTGTTTGACAGAATGGTACCAGCACAGTGAAACTTCATATCTTCGTATTTCTTATTCTCTGCAATGAAGAGTGCCACCAGCCACGGCCACTGGTCTGGCGACCTTTTCTCTCCATTGAAAATCAAAACATTTATAGTGCTCTTGATTCGGCTATTGATACCACATTCATTGTTATTAATATTGGTATTGTTATTATTAATATCGTTACTATTATCATTAATATTTGTATTGTCATTGCTGTCATCGCTGTCATCGCTGTCATCGCTGTCATTGTTGTCATTGCTGTCGTTATTGGATTGAGTGTCATTATGGGTTTCCATGGATTCTTTCCGATTCTTGCTATTCTCCGGACTAGTAGGACTAGAGTAAATTAGATGTAAGTAGTTTAGACGGTAATGATTCGGGTTGTTTATTCGGTAGATGCTAATGTTTCGATATAATGAATTCTCAGTGGATTCTGACGAATTTTGCCAAAAAAATGGCACATTGTTTGGCGGATACACAACATGCCCCAACTCAATAGTCGCTCTGATAATTTCATTTCCTGGAACGAAAATATATGTAATATGTTTTCCAAGTCACTTGTTCTTTTAAAGTAGGCAAAAAAAATTTTATTTCCTTTTAGAGAAAAAAATAATTTCCAAAGACAGGAAATAATGATAAAATCGTTTTTATGATTTAAAATAAAAAATAATGTGTAAGATAAAAAATGATGTATAAGATACAAAAAATGTATGATGATAAAGAGAAAAGATTTTGATTGCTTATAATGAGTTTTATTTTCCTGTTTGCTAGAAATTATGCATAGTTAAATATAAAATTAATAAAATTAATTTCAATTAGCGTGGTTCGCAAAAAAAAATGGAAAAAATTCTATTCTATTTTTTTAGATACATAGGGTGTCCCAAATTTTTTAACATACTGTATGTGGGCAGATAGACCAAACTAAATTGAATTGAAAAGTTCTATCCATCAGTTCTCCATCATTTTACAATTTTTACAATAGATAATGAGATATTAACTTCTAAAGATTACCGAATAAGTGGATAAAATTAAACGTGTAATACAACTTTGATATGTTTCAGAATTTTTTATGAAATATTTTAAAGATGTTTCTTAAAGAATTTATAAAAATACCTTAAAATTGTTTTATGCGTTAATTTTAGACATTCTGCTTATTGAGTAACTAAAAGGATTGTGAAAATTACAAAATAGTAGAGAACTTTTTGACTCAGTTTAGTCTGCTCTACTTGTCCACAAGTGATGTGTCAAAAAGTTTGGGACAGCTTGTATAAAATATTCTTTATTTGTATTCTTTTCACAAGTAAATGTGGTACTCACTAGGACAATATTTTAGATTATTAAACCATGTCGCAGATACTGTTGGAATTGGTTTATCGAGATTTAGCGAGGGAAAATAGATATAATATAACAAGGGTCTGCTCCGTTGAATAGCTAGAATAGATTCTTTTACCGGTCGTGCCAATTCTAATCGAATAAACGCATTTTTCTGGAACGCAACAATAATTAAGCTACTTCCATTTATTACACATGTACAACTAATATGACAAATTAGATTAAAATCTAAAATAGCCTTTAAATAATATCTTGATTATCTCTTTTTTGAATTATAAAAGACCTATCTGTTCAATTTTATTTCTTTTTTTGCATTTAGACTATGAAAAAATTATTTTACATGACTCAAAAAATAAAAATAAAACAATCTATTCTTTAACAAAGAATGGTATTATTTATACTTCGATCATTTTATTAGACTATCTCTTTTAAAGCTAAAAAAATTTTATTTCTTCGAAACACTAATTGCAGAAATCAAATGGCTCCGTCTAGTCAAATTTAATTTTTATAAAAGCTTCAGAAAAACTCCTAATCGTAATTAACTTTAATGTACTAAGAATGATTGGGAGATTATCTATTTTGATATAAAAAACAAAAATATATTACAACTTCTTTCCTATATTTTTAATAATAGTAAAAAAGAATTCTTATGTCTGAAGAGACGGCATCGCAACACTATTTAAGGCCACTCTTAAATAGAATTCGTCATTTTCTGGAGGAGATGGGATTTCAATCTGTCCGAGTATATCAGTTGTCTCAGGTTTGATTATACAATATATGTATAATAAAATATTCCGAGCATGAAGTTGCACAATGTACCATGGTACCAAATAGATGAGATATCAATATGATCAAGATAGAAATTTTTACCATTTTGTGAGTGTGTGTTACAAAACTAACGACAAACATGGTTTACATGTGTATTTAATATTTATAAATTATTAATATTTGCTACAATTAATTATCGAATTAATTATTATTAATATCAAATAATTAACATTAACTTTATTTCTTAATCCAGGAAGAATCTTATTATTGTTTCAAAAGAATCAAAAGAATCAATAACTTTATTAAAAAAAAACATAGAAGTACTACAAATCTACAATATGTTAATGGGAATGCATAATTGATATAATATTTACATATCTCGCCATATGTCTAATTTTGAAAAGTTGATAAGATTAAAGGAAACAAAATTTTGAAATATAAGTACACAAATAAATCCCAGCCATGGATCATACAATAAAATTTATGTGTTTTGAGAAAATTACTTTAATTTTTAGTTTCGTTTGCAGTAGATTATTAAAAAAAAATTGTTCCGTAAGATGAATGCATCCGCCCGCGGATGAAGATATTTTACGCATTCTACGAGCACATTTATTTCATTTGATTATTTAGTCATGGAACCGGTTGTAGCGAATGTAATCATCGCTTTATTTAACTGATTATGAGTCTGTTAAGAATTAACGCGACTCCCACATACTGTCTGCTTTCACTTTATTACATTTTTTCACTGTGTATATCAGTAATGCTGACGTTTTGCACTTATATCGAAGTACTATCTAATAATTTCTTATTGATCAGTAGAATAAGCACTTTCAAGCACTTTAAATTAAACTTCTTCAATAGTTTCTCATTTACATATTTTTATGTATTTATTTATTATTTATTCCTGTTTATTTCTGAGATATTCTTTGAAGCACTCTTTGAAACATTTTGAAGCGCTTCTGAATGATTCGAAATTCAATGCTACGGCAACTAATTTCAAATATTTAGTATGTTAATCTTGGAAATTACGCTCTTGCAATCTCACTGAATTCACTTTACTCAGTTGACTAGTTCTTATTGAAACACGTTTACAATTTCTATGCTGAAGATGCGTTTAATTGACGCAATAGTGGGATACCGGGCGTCAAGGTTATAGCATTTAATTCGTCGAAGATATCATGCAAGCATAAGGTAAATGCAATAAGAAGTAATGCAAATTAAGAAGTAAGCGTGTTTAAACATCCTGTCAGCTTGGAAAATTTTGCGCGAGAAGTAAAAAAGGGGGGATCCCGCTGATGTATGTTGCTAAGTTAATCAGTTTTACTGTCGTCATTCTCGTCACTACCCAAGCAATCGAACATTTATTATTAACAGTCTATCGTATCGATAACTTGTGCATCCATTCGTTTATGTAATCATGTTTTCATGTAATCATGTTTTTAATTTTTATTCTTCCTCTGTTGTTTTTTCTTAATTAATTTTTCCTTCTCATCTATTAATATCTAAGTGTCTGTAATGCAGTTTTGTCATCTGTGATTAATCAAAGAATTAAAATATCACATTATTGTGTTTTACATTGTAAATATCATTAGTTTTAAATTTATGCAAAATTGTGTAATTTCAAAAGCATTTACGAAAATTTGAGAATGTATATTTTGTCACGTGATCTATGAATGTGCTTATAGCTTCCAAAGCAATTGCCTTAGTAAAGAAGGCTCATTGTCTTAACTGTCTAAGATCTAATTCACACCAAACTAAAAAATTGCACTTCAAGTCGCAAATGTAAAGGTAAACATAATACATTATTATATTTGTCAAATTCGGTAGATGATAGCAAGTCCTGCGACAGTCAGTGCATCAAAATCATTATTCAAGATCTTTAGCATCTCAAACTTTATTAGGACGAATCCTTTCCCTTGGACTTAAGCACTAAATGGAGGTTTACACTACGAATCTGAATTGTCTTGAGGGATATAGTTATACCAGGAGCTATCGCCCCTAATAAAATAGATCACGCCATTAAAGTTCTGCTGAAGGTAGTCCAAAAGTTGCTTTTCTCTAAAGAATTGGAATTGCTTTCGACAAAATCTCAATAAAAATAACCCTATCTTACGAGAGCAACGCTCAAAAGAGCGCGTAAGAGAATCAATTGTCTACAAATGAAACGAACTTTTAGAAGATTCTATAAACTTACATGACTAGCTATTTTGAAACTCTTATCCAAAATATAATAAAATATAACAAAAAAAACTTCATATTAAAAAGAGTTTAATATCTGCTCCATGTTTGTCTTCATTAATTATCTTTTGCTAACTTTACTTTTAATGGAAACTATTCAAAATCTTACTTAAAAAACGTTATGTTCAAATAAAAATAGTTCTGTTTCATGTTTGTCTTATCTATCTTATGATAATTTTGTTTTACATTGTATAAAAATTTTATAAATAATGAAATGTTGATATTTTAGAATGTTTATTCTTTTATATACAATATATTAACGCAAATTAAAGTGCGAAGAATTCTTCTTTGAATTCTTTGTGCTTCTGTTAATCTGTCATTCATGTGAGCTTCATCAGCTGCATTTATTTCTTCAGCTTGAACTCTAATATGATTACATATTTGAAGATTATCTGGAGTTTAGCTCTTTGTTGAGCAGCAGCTTCATCTTCTTCATCAATGTCAATTTCATTCATAAGATTATAACGCAAACATATGTTATGTAATACAGCACAAGCTACGATTATATTTGCTGCCATAACAGGATCGTAATGTAATACGCGATGATTAAGGAAACATCTTCATACATTCTTCAGAAGACCGAACATTCTTTCAACACAGTTTCTAACAAAAGAATGATGTTATGCTTCTAATCTGAACTGTATTCAGAAATCTTAACTGGGAGTGCAAGAAACTCGCATTTTCAACAACCTCGTGCAGTGCTGCTGCCACTGAACGTTTTTGGTGCGCACTCAGTGCGGCCCAATGAAAAAGGCTATTAGCACTCGACATCT